AAATAGGATACCACACATCAGTCCTAAGCACCTAGACTAGCACGAAATAATTTGCAGGAAGGAGTTAAATGTTGTTCAGGAAATGGAACTTTACAGGTCGCTCTACATGAGATCTTCTCAACATGATTTTTTTTAATTTGAAAATTAGTTTTCAAAGTAAACATTCTATATACATACTTTTTTTTTTTTTGGAGAGATTTTCACTATAGGGCGCGTGCGCTCGCCAGACAGAGAGAGACAGAGAGACAGAAAGCGAGAAATCACCCCCCAGGGGGGATGGTCACGCCGCAATCCCTTCTCCTCCATTCTCCTCTCTGGATCTTGGGCACGCACGCACACGTGCCCGGCGTGAGTTTTAAGCCACCGGGTCCGGGACGCAAAAAAAAAAAAAAAAAGAATAAAAGATTCAACTGTCCAAAAATTTCAGATTAAGTACTTCCTACAGTAGAACCACGAAGGTAAAAGTAATGATAGGTTCCATGTAATTCCTTGCAAAACACTGATAGTACACCCTGTCATTATAATTTAAATGATTATAATTTCAAAAGAAGGGATAAGAGAGAAACTTTATTTACTGTAAAGAAAATAAGACCACAGAAAAAAGTAAAAAGAATCTAAACATACATCTAGTTTTCAAGTAAGCAGCAATCTTGACTGGGAAATACTAATTTTCCTTCCTGTTCCTCCAACACAGAGCAGTAAATGTTTTTAAAGTTACTAATTTTTTGAACTTCTATTACCTCTTTGCTTTTTTAACCCTTGTAATAACCTTGTAATGAATTCCTCTATTAGAGTTCCTCTGTTTCAAGTTACTACATTGGTTTCTAGTTCCCTGATTGGACTTTGAACCCTTCAGATACAATTACTCGATTAATACCTATACTTTACATTTACTTTCAGAAACTTTTATTAGCAGCAGAGAAAGAGCTTAGTTGATTATATTTCCAGGTTTTCATGGTAAACCCTACCTTTAAGATTTTTAACCATTGATTAGGTTCCACCAAATGGGGCTCATCATTTCCTTCACGTGACATGCTGTTTCCCAGCACAGTACAAAGTAAGTGCCTTTGCATTTGCGATCTCTGCTCTCTCTTTTCTGCGAGTCACAGCAAACGACTTTGCTAGACTTAAGGGCACACTTTAGAGGATCTGGTCTTCTGTTCATTAAAAAGGTAGAATTTAAGGCTCTAACTATTCCATAGATCTCTTCCCTATATAACTTCATATCCGCCCCTCATGGTCCAGACCAGTGCTAAAACTCTCTACAGTGCCAGAACTCTTCTTCCACGCTGTCTCTATAGCAGCCAGCAACCCTATGTGGCTACTTAGCATCTGAAATGGAATAAGTGTACCTAAGGGACTAAATGATAGACTCTCTTAAATTTTAATTAATTAAAGTTAAACATAGGTGGCCACATGTGGCTAGTGGGTACCATAATGGACAGTGCTGTTTTGAATTCTAGAGAAAGAGGGAGCAGTAATTGCCATCCGGATCACTTATATAAAACTAAACAAGATCACAGATTGTAAGTTAACATAAAACTATGTCTCAAGGGGCCGGCAGGTGGGTGGTGGTTAAGGCGACTGGACTCCCACATGGCTGACTGACTACAGCAGTTTGAGTCCTGAACCTGATGGATTGCTTTCTCACTTTCCTTCTCTCTGTCTCTCTCTGGTCAACCTCAAAAAATAATAATAATAATAATAATGACAATGAATATAAATACAATAATTCTTAAGGAAAAAAACTGTCTCAAACCACAGTCATGAAAAACTAGAGTATGGTCCCTTTACGCACTGTTTCATTGACGATTCACACTTGTACTTTTGTAAGTACAGTTCCCCCTGATTATGTTGTCCTAATCCTGAGAGAAGATTTTTGAGAAGAAATAGGATACCACACATCAGTCCTAAGCACCTAGACTAGCACGAAATAATTTGCAGGAAGGAGTTAAATGTTGTTCAGGAAATGGAACTTTACAGGTCGCTCTACATGAGATCTTCTCAACATGATTTTTTTTAATTTGAAAATTAGTTTTCAAAGTAAACATTCTATATACATACTTTTTTTTTTTTTGGAGAGATTTTCACTATAGGGCGCGTGCGCTCGCCAGACAGAGAGAGACAGAGAGACAGAAAGCGAGAAATCACCCCCCAGGGGGGATGGTCACGCCGCAATCCCTTCTCCTCCATTCTCCTCTCTGGATCTTGGGCACGCACGCACACGTGCCCGGCGTGAGTTTTAAGCCACCGGGTCCGGGACGCGAACCATGGTCGACTACGTGGGAGTCCAGCGACATAGCCATTATGCTAACTGCTGGTTCCCATCTATATACATACTTTTAGAGAAAGAGCAGGGCTCCAATACTGTAACTGCTAAGTAACTACACGCAATGAATGAACCATAAAAACACCAACGTGCAGAAAGTTTCTTGACCTTTTCCAAAAAAGTCACTATTTTTGCACTCTTCTTTTTTTTTTTTTTTTTTTTTTTTTTTTTTTTTTTTGGGGGGTTTTTTTTTTTTTGGGGGCGCCAGACAGAGAGAGACAGAGAGACAGAAAGCGAGAAATCACCCCCCAGGGGGGATGGTCACGCCGCAATCCCTTCTCCTCCATTCTCCTCTCAGGATCTTGGGCACGCATGCACACGCGCCCGGCTTGAGTTTTAAGCCACCGGGTCCGGGACGCGAACAGCGGTCGACTACGTGGGAGTCCAGCGACATAGCCATTACGCTAACTGCTGGTTCCCAACTTTTGCACTCTTCTGACCAGAGAAGTAAACTAAAAAACAGTATTCTTCAGTTTTAAAAATCAAAGGCTAGAGACAAGCAGGTGGGTCGGTGGTTAAAGGTGCTGGACTCCCATATGACTGACCAGGGTTCAGGTCCCGGCCTGGCGATTTGCTTTCTCTCTTTCTCTGGTCAAATTAGAAACAAAATAATAATGATGATAATAAATGAGATGAAATAAAATAATTTTAAAAAATCAAAGGCTAAATGAATATAATCAATCAAGAAATATTTGACACCTCACTCAGCACTCCTGGGTGCTATAAGAAAAAGTTATAGTTTAGGATAAGATCCTTGGGCTGGGGACCAGCAGTTAGTGTAATGGCTATGTCACTGGACTCCCACGTAGTCCGACCGCGGTTCACGTCCCAGACCCGGTGGCTTAAAACTCATGCAAGGCACGTGTACATGCATGCCCAAGATCCCAAGAGGACAACGGAGGAGAAGGGATTGCAGCATGGCCATCCCCCCTGGGGGGTGATGTCTTGCTTTCTGTCTATCTGTATCTCTCTGTCTGTCTGGTGAGCGCATGCGCCCTATAGCAAAACCTCTCCAAAAAAAAAAAAAAAATCCTTGGGCTGGTTCCATGACCTAGTGATTAAGGAAAATGGATCTCACACCACCAACTGCACAACTTGAATTCTGGCTTTGGTGGCTTCAAAACCATGCATGTGTGTGTGTGTGTGTGTGTGTGTGTGTGTGTGCGCGTGCATGCGCACATGCGTACCTACCCCAAATTCCAATAGGATGGAGGAATGGAGGAGAAGGGATTGCAGTGTGACCACACTCCTTTGAGGATTGTTTTTTCCCTTTCTCTGGCAAGTACATGCACCCTCTGGCAAATCATTAAAAAAATAATAAAAATTGGGTCCAGCAGATGGCATAACAGTTACATCGCTGAACTCCCACATGGCTGACCACGGTTTGAATCCTGGACCCGGTGGCTGAAACCCACACTAGGAATATGTACATGCATGCCAAGAACCCCAAGAGGAGAAGAGATTGTGGTGTGGCCATCCCCCTGGGGGATGATTTCTCACTTTCTGTCTCTCTCTGTTGAGCTCAAGTGCCTGTAGCAAAAAAAATCTCTCCCCCTTAAAAAAGAAGGTATTAACAGGCCCAACAGGTAGTGTGGTAGTTGGGCACTAGACTCCTATACAGCTGACCATGGTTCAGGTCCTGTTTGCTTTCTCACACTTATAGTGCATGTGCCCTATACTAATTTAACTAATAGTAATAATTAATCAATTAAGTTTTTAAAGAAAAAAAGAATATATTAACAACAATAGTAAACCAATTGCCGGCACTTAATAGTTACATGGTATAAAAGGCAAGGGAAAGTATATCTTATGTACTTAAATGTCAAGAAAAGAAAAATAATTGCCCTATTATGTTAAGATATGGAGTGAGGGAACCAGCAGTTAGCGTAATGGCTATGTCGCTGGACTCCCACGTAGTCGACTGCGGTTCGCGTCCTGGACCCGGTGGCTTAAAACTCACGCCGGGTGCGTGTGCATGCATGCCCAAGATCCCGAGAGGAGAATAGAGGAGAAGGGATTGCGGCATGACCATCCCCCCTGGGGGGTGATTTCTCGCTTTCTGTCTCTATGTCTCTCTCTGTCTGTCTGGCGAGCACACGTGCCCTATAGCAAAAAACCTCTCCAAAAAAAAAAAAGATATGGAGTGAAACAGAACAGACATAAAGAGCCAAGATTTTATGTTTCACATACTAGCTCATAAAGACTTCCAGAAAATATGTGTGAGGCTTGCATATCAACACACTCTCTCTTAATAGTTTTATGATATAGGACTGAGTTTTTGTTTTTAAGGTTTTTGCCACAAGGCACATGCACTAGGTAGAGAAACAGAGAGAGGGAAAGTGAGAAATCACACAACCCATCCCCAAGGGCAGGAGAATGACCACGCTGCAATCCCTTCATTTTCCTCCTGGGATTTTAGGCGTGCATACACATGCGCCCAGCATGATTTTAAAGCTGCCAGGTCCAGGACTCGAATTATGGTTGGCCATGTGGGAGCCTAGCACCTTAACTACCATACCACTTGCTGGCCTCCATGACTGAGATTTATTTTTTATCTTAATAAATCCTTTTCTATATCAAATTTCTCAATATCTTTTAAATGAAACAGTAAAAAAGAACTAAATATAAGCTTAAAACATAAAGTGTTCCTGACAAACACTCAAATACTTACGATGGTCGATCCTCAAGAATCAGAGCAGTGGTAGAAAGCGGCTCAAATTCAAAATTCTTACGCCTTGAAGACTGAGGTGGTGGTTTATAGGTCCTCCCTGTTCGTGCTTCATATTCCTAAAGTAAATGAAAACACGCCTTATGCAGAGATTGTTCTAATCTTCAGTTTGCATTACTAATTCTGTATCTTGGAGGATATTATACTATTACAAGGGATTATATATAATTCATACATTAATTTGGTAAAAATATCAGAGAAAAAATAAAAGACTAATTTTTTCCTCCACTGAAGCAACTGAAATTATAAATTTGTATTACCCACAAAGTACTATAAAGAAAGAAAAGATAGAAATGCACTAGATTTAGGTAGTTTTAGAGAGACATTGATCTCTTTGCAAGGTGTCAGCTATCAAAGTCCAGCTTTGAATAATCTACAAGCAGATAAGCCTACTTTCTAACCTTCAGAGAAATCGGTGATGGAGATGTTGTGACAAGATACGGATGATCCCATTGTAATGCTCTGAAGATCACACTTACTGGCTGCTTAATCACGATGATGTGTGTTTATTACCTTATCTTTTCCAATTCAAAGAATGATTTTTTTTTTTGAGAGGTTTTTTGCTATAGGGCATGTGCTCTTGCCAGAAAGACAGAGAGAGACAGAGAGATAGAAAGCAAGAAGTCACCCCCCAAGGGAGATGGCCACGCCACAATCCCTTCTCCTCCATTCTCCTCTTGGGATCTTGGGCATGCATGCACACACACCCGGTGTGAGTTTAAGCCACTGGGTCCGGGACTCGAACCGCGGTCGACTACGTAGGAGTCCAGTGACATAGCCTTCCTCTCCCCCACTCCTTTCTCTCACTTGGAAAAAAAGAAACTTTTTATAATATTTCTCTAATTCATGAAACCTAATAATCCTATTTAAAAAAATAAAGTCATTTTGGGACCAGCAGGTGGAGTGGTGGTTAAGGTGCTGGACACTCCCACATGGCTGACTGCGGTTCGATTCCCAGACCTGGTGGCTTGCTTTCTCACTTTCCCCCTCTCTCTCTGTGTGTATCTCTCTCTGGTCAAATTAAAATAAATGAATGAATAAATAAAATTAAATAAATAATTATTAAAAAAAATAACAAAAAATAAAGTCATTTTGACATAATATATTCTGGGTGGACACGCCAACTGCTGGTCCCAGAAGAAAGACTATTTTAAATCAGACAACTGCAAAATGCAAAATAATGGTACTGTCCCTCTTAAAAATGTGGTGACCTTGAAGCTTAATCTCTCGTTTGAATTCCCTTTTCTTTTTTTTAAGAGTTATTTAATTTTAATTATTTATTCATTCATTTATTTTAATTTGACCAGAGAGAGACACAGAAAGAGAGAGAGGGAAAGTCAGAAAGCAAGCTACCAGGTCCAGGAATCAAACCATAGTCCACCATGTGAGAGTGTCCAGCGCCACTTGCTGGTCCCTTACTCTCTCATTTGAGATATTATTTTTCAAAAACAACTAATGTTGTCTTAAGCATTTTCTTTAAACTTCAGCTTATTTTGTGTTTCCTGCTACTGTGTACAAAGGTTTATACTAATGTTTGAGAGTAACATCTCCTCTTCTAATCTACTAAAACTCTGTTCAGTCAATACAAGAATTCCTCTCCATCACCATATTGGGTTTTTAGAGACTTTTACTTTCTCTAATTATTCAGGATTATGTGAACTCATGCTTATTAACTCCCATCCCAAAGAACCATATCGCCTTTCAGAGTCAAAACCACAAAGTCATGGGGACCAGCAGGTGGCATTGTGGTTAAGGTGCTGGACACTCCCACATGGCTGACCACAGTTTGAGTACTGCACCTGGCAGCTTCCTTTTTCCCTTTCCTTCTCTCTCTCCTCTTTCTCTGTGTCTCTTTCTGGTCAAATTAAAATGAATTAATGAATAAATTTAAAAATTATATAAATAATCATAAAAAAACCCCACAAAGTCACTCATCTCTTTTGGTCTTTTCCTTTTTCTTCCCCAACATCTAGGATGTATATCAAATTATGCTCAGTGTTTTTTCTCTTCATTACAATTCTAGTACAACAATCCCATATTTCTGCTTATGTTTCTCTTATTACAAATAATAAGCAATAGAGATATATTAAATGGGATATTGTTTTTCTACAATATGACCTGCTTTCACTTACAGACAGAATACAATGACAATCCAATAAAACAGTTTTCCATGCAAAGAAATGCCAAGCGCATAGACAGCAAAATCAAACTTCTACACCAATATGTTAATGACTAACATGGGGCTGGCAGGTGGCGTGGTGGTTAAGGGTGCTGGACTCCCACATGGCCAACCATACATAGTTTGATTCCTGGACCTGGCATCTTTCATTCTCATTCTCTCTCTCTCTCTCATCAAATTTAAAGATTTTTAAAATAATAATGATAATGACTAACATCTACTGACACTTACTAGTATCACGGACTTTACACATTTAATCCTTGAAACCACCCAGTGAGGCACTTAACTGTGGAGGAAACCAACGCATAACGATGTTCATTTCGTTGCCAAAGATCATGTATAATATGTAGTCTAGCTACAGATTTTGGCCTTATAAAGATCTATTTACTTGATATATAAACAGGTGGCTATCTGTGACAATTTAAAAGAATAAGATTTGATAAAACCATTCAGTGAAAGGTTTGGTATAGGGGTAGATCAGGCTGACGATACTTGAAATCACCAGTACACCTAAATTTTTGTAAATAATCACACAAACGACCACTAGGCAGTTTGTGATTTATGTCACATGTCACTATTACTGAAATACTCTTTTTTTAAAGAATTATTTTATTTAACTTTATCTATTTATTTATATTTTTAAATTTAACCAGAAAGGGGCAAAGTGAGAGAGAGAGAGAGAAAGCAAGCTGCCAGGTCTAGGACTTGAACCGCAGTCGGCCATGTAGGAGTCCAGTGCCCTTAACCACCATACCACCTGCTGGCACTGCTATTACTAAAATATTCTTGACAAAAGAAAAACAAAACTTAAATATGATCAAGTCTGTAGAATCACACTGTATAATATGGTAGCAAAAAGAAGTGGCAACCAAATAGGTAACACACACATATACACTGAAAAAATCTCAAGAAATCTGAACTAGTAAAAGGTTATTTTCTGGAGAATAGAACTAAAAATAAAGGATTTTGTTTGACTTGTTTATGTTTGACTTTTCTTACAACAAAAAATAGTTTGTGAGTGAGGTCACCTATAGCCACAGTGGATAATTAACAAAACCTTCCTAAAGAGATGCCATCAGAACTGGAACAAAAAATGATGGCAATTATTTAGACAGGTGGAAGAACTGAAAAGAAATGTCGAGGGGCCAACAAAGGCATGCATCAAGGAAACACATTAATCTCACTGAATAGGAAAGATGATGACAAGTTGGAAAGGTATAGGCTAAATTACAAGGGCCTTTCATTAGCTAAAATATTTGGAGTTCATCATGAACAAAGTAGAGAATCACTGAAGTTTAGATAAAGCCAAGTTTGATGAACAGTCTTTTATTAGAAAAGTAACTGCGTAAGTACATAATTTTAAAGTGGCAGGACCAGCAGTTAGGATAATGGCTATGTCGCTGAACTCCCATGTAGTCAACCACTGTTCGAGTCCCGGACCCGGTGCTTAAACTCACACTGAGCGGGTGTGCGTGCATGCCCAAGATCTCAAGAGGAGAATGGAGGAAATGGCATGGCCATATCCCATGGGGAGTGATTTCTTGCTTTCTGTCTCTCTGTCTCTCTCTGTCTCTCTGGTGAGCACACGCACCCTATAGCAAAAACCTCTCCCCCCCCCAAAAAAAAAATGTGGCTCCAGGGCTGATCCCATGGTACAGCAGTTAAGCAAGGTACATTGGAAGCCAAATCCCACATGGCTGGCAGCAGTGCAAGTCCCAACCCCAAAGGCTTGAAAAACACACTGGGTGCAAGTGTGAGAATGCCTAAAATCCTGACAGGATGGAGAAATGGAGAAAAGAGGTGGCAGTGTGACCATGCCCTATTGAGAGTGCTCTCTTTTGTCCTCTCTGTTTGGAGAGTGAACACACTCTCCAGCAATAAAAAGTAACTGACACAAAATGCCACAGCTAGAATATTTATGCATCTATTTGAGGGATGGGTTTAAATATAATTGTCACTCAAACATTTTACACATAAGAAAGGAGCTAGGGCTGGCCAAGTATCAAGGTAATTAAGAGAACTGGATCCCACATGGGCAAACACAGTCTGAATCCCAGACTAGGTGGCTTGAAAATCACACCAGGCACGTGTGCAAGTGTGCCCCAAATCCTGACAGGATGGAGCAATGGAGAAGGGATTGCAGAGTGACCATGTTAGCGGTGGGGGATGGGGCTTTCTGACTTTCTGTCTCACCAGTGATTACACATGCCCTCTGGCATATTAAAAAAAGAAAAACCTCTAAACGATAGAAGCGGGTGGGGAACGAAACAATGAAGGGGGAAAAATGTGGACTCAGAATCCTGTACCAAGAGAAAATAGTTTTCAAAAGTGAAAACAAAGGGACCAGCAGTTAGCGTAATGGCTATGTCGCTGGACTCTCACGTAGTCGACCGTGGTTCAAGTCCCGGACCTGGTGGCTTAAACTCACACCGGGCGCATGTGCATGAGTGCCCAAGATCCTAAGAGGAGAATGGAGGAGAAGGGATTGCGGCATGGCCATGCCCCCAGGGGTGATTTCTCGCTTTCTGTCTCTCTGTCCCTCTCTGTCTGTCTGGTGAGCGCACGCATCCTACAGCAAAAACCTCTCCAAAAAAAAAGAAAGAAAGAAAAAAAAAGTGAAAACAAAATAAAAATCTTTTCACACATATAAAAACAAAGAGAATCTGTTTGTTAAAGGACTTGCAAGATATTTTAAAGGAAATTTTTCAGGCAGAGAGAATGTATCACCTGAAATCATGGGTCTACACAAAGAAATAAGCACTAAAATTTAAAACTTCTAGGGTAGGTGGAAGGATTGAGAAATAGAAACATGTACACAGTGGAATAGGTTATGGAACAAAGAACCACAGCAGGGTGAAAAATGTCATGGACAATTCGACGTATACTTCCAAAGGGAAAAAAAAACCTAGTAGAACTATTACCAAACGTGTACAACATAACGTAATGTTGGGGCCAGCAGATGGTGTGGTGGTTAAGGCACTACACTTCCACATGGTCAACAGTGGTTCGAGTCCTGGACCTGGTGGCTTGCTTTCTTACTTTCCCTCTCTCTCTGTATCTCTGTCTGCTCAAATTTTTAAAAAATAATAAATTAAATAGGTAATTATTTTATAAAATGTAATGTTTAACATTGAAGAACATGAATATGCCTCTATTTCTTGATTTTATTATTACACAATGTAGGTGTGCTTCAAAAAACCATATTGTACCCCAGAAAGATGTACAATGATTATATATAGACCAGAAATCAAAACACATGAAACAAACAAACAAAATTTCTGGTCTGTGAAAGACACTGTAAAGCAAATGAGAAGACAAACCACAGACAGGAAGCAAATATTTGCCAAAAACTCTTCTGATAAAAGACATACAATATAATGGGACCAGCAGTTTGCCTAAAGGCTGTGTCGCTGGACTCTCATGTAGTCGACTGTGGTTCGAGTCCCAGACCCGGTGGCTTAAACTCACAACGGGTACGTGTGTGTGTGTGCCCAAGATCCGAGAGGAGCATGGAGGAGAAGGGATATGGTGTGGCCATCTCCACTGGGTGGTGATTTCTCGCTTTCTGTCTCTCTGTCTCTCTGTCTTTCTGGGGAGTGCAGTAGCCCTTATAGCAAAAACCTCTCCAAAAAGATTTTAAAAAGACATATACAGTATACAAAGAACTACTCCTAAAACTCAAGGAGAAATTGAAGAACACAATTTAAGTAGGCAAAGGCCTGAACAGATAAACAAATTGCAAGTGAGACTGAAAAGATGTCCAACATAATTTGTAAATACAACACTAAGCACAATACCATTACACGCCTATTATAATGGCCAAAATGGAAAACACTGACAACACCAAAGCTAGAGAACATATGAAAAAATAGGAACTTTCCTTCATTCCTGGTGAGAGTGCAAAAATGGTACAGTCACATTGGAAGACCGTTTCCCAGTATCTTGTATAAACATACACCCATCATAGGATCCAGAAATTATTATTTACTGAAATGAACTGAAAACACGTCCACACAAAGCCTGCACATGAAAGTTTGCAGCAGCCTTATTCATAATTGCCAAAACTTGGAAGTAACCAAGATGCTCTTTAGTAGGTGAATGTATAAATAAACAATGACGTATCTAGACAATAGAATATGATTCAGTGCTAAAAAGAAATGAGCTACTGAACCATGGAATGGCACGGAGGAAAACATAATGCTTATTACGAAGGGAAAGAAGTCATACAAACTCTATGGTTCCAGCTATATGATGTTCTAGAAAAAGCAGAAACTACGAAAACAGTAAAAAAAACCTCCGTGGTTGCTTAGAGTGGGGTAGGGGGGAAAGAACAATGAGGCAGAGCACCAAGTATTTCCAGGGCAGTGAAACCATGTTGTCTGATACTACACAGAGGATTCATTTGTCCAAACCATAGAATGTACACCACCGAGACTGAACCCTAATGTAAATGAAGAGTTTTGAGTAATAATGTGTCAATGTAGGTTTATCAGTTGTAAAAAACGCACCACTGTGGCACAAGATGTGTATGCTGGGAGGGAGGCTGTGTGTGGGGACAGGGAATATAGGGAAATATATTTCTCTTCAATGGTGTGATGACCCCTAAATTACTCTGAAAATAAATTTATTAATTTACATTTACTCAAATCAAATTCAGTAATATACGACAAGGATCACTATGACTAATTGTAGTTTATGCCTGGAATGCAAAATTGGTTCAACAACCCAAAACAACTTTTACAACTTAATAGTAAGTAAAATGGCCCAAACAGACTGAATTTAAGCTTTGTCTTATGTGGATGGACAAAATAAGTTCCACCTGAGAAACAAATAAAATATCTGAAGAATGGTATCTTTTTTATAATAATTTAATTTTATTTATCATTACTATTATTTTTTAATTTGCTATAGGGTACCTGCAGGAAAGAAATTTAAATAAAAAAAAGAGGCCACACATTCAGCTGATAGCAAAGTCATATTCTATCGTACTCTAATGCTTTGGGTTCTGTAGCTAAAGAGAAATCTAGTGGATAGAGGTGTATTAGGAAAGAAGTATGTGAAAAGGTCAGACTACATTTGGAGGGAGCATGGCAGCAGTCTTTAAATAACTTCCGAAAGAAGTGAAATATCGGTTGGGAGGGTGGGCCTAGAGCTGTGCTCCCAAGCCGCTGAGGCAGCCCTGGGAGAAGTGGGGCAGGCTGCAACATCACAGACTGGAGCTGTTTCTTTGCCCTGAACTTGACTGGGGCCTCGTTTGTTGGCAGTGTGCTGCCCAGTAGGCCCAGCTGGTGTCCGTACTCCCTGTGCTCCTGTGCTGCCCCAAGGTAAGCAGTCCATCCAGGCTGGGCCTTAGGTACCCCATCGAGGGGCAACCCCTTCGGGCATTCTGTTGAAGATGTGACCTCAAAAAGTAAAAGGCCCTCTACAGAAACAAAACAAAAAGTAAAATATGGAAAGTAGAACAAAACAAAAAATAGCAGAACAGGAGCCTCTCTTCCAAAGAGAAAGAGAAAGCCAAAATAGCCAAATATCTACTGTGATAGATCCATTAACCGACAGGACACTGAGGTTCAGTGGACTGTAGCAACAAGACTCTTAAAGGAGTTGGTGTTAAACTACATGCTGTGGAGTTTCTAGAGAGCCAGAATCTTTCAGAAATAGAAGAAACTCCCCGTGTGGCCATCTCTACTATCTCAAGACCATGCGTCGAAAATAAAGGAACTCTCCTACACAACCTGATCCAAGAGCCGAGGGAGCCATTATGCTTGGCATAGAGACCGTTTAGTTCACTGCAATACCTTACCTGACTCTAAATTTTATTCTAGAATCTGTGCCTTAGGAGAAGTAAAATCCATCTCATATTTTGAGCTTAATTGGAACCTTGGATTGAAGCATTTCATTACTCTCTGGCATGTAGGAATGTCTTAGTAAGCTTCATTTTGGCAAAGTCATTAGCACAATTTTGTTTGCCGAGTCCGATTTGAAATCTAACATAATATACAGATCTGACATAAAGAGAAAAAGAATAAAACTCTCAATATAATTTTTGATACTCAAACTGTATGTGTATAATCAAATAATAGGAATTCAGAGTATTTTCAAACTGCAACCCCTTTCCAAGTCTGTGTTTCTGATAACGGGAAAAAATTTCCCCCCGAGTTTTGCCCTACTCAGTTTCTGTGAACTTACCGTTTTATTCCTTTTGTATTCTCTAAGGTAAGTTCACTAAGTTAAGCGTCTTTCTTGAGGCTCATACTTCTCTCCTTTCCCAGAAGCACAGGCCCAGAACTGTTCCAAGTTCTCAATCTTCAGACCACATAAATTAACTTTTAAAATCTATTTATTTACATGTAGGAAATGTGTAATAATTTATAAACTATCAATAAAGAACAGACATGCAGCTGGGAAAGTAACTATTCACTACCTTTCCAAGGTGACAATAAGATAGGTAAATAAAGGTGAAAACAAACATGCAAGGGTGTAACAATTATAAGGACTTTTCAAGAATATACTTCCTTTCCAGTTTAGCGACAACAAAACAGTACTTCATTTCTGTAGTACTCAGCCTAAGTTTATACTAAGTGGATCTACTTAAGCTTAATTAAAACTGATGAATTGTTTTCAAATGTTCTAATACTATGTACACCAATAACACCAGTAACCAAAAAATTAACTTCACTTTCAAAGTGTTATATATTTAACTTCTGCTAATAAAATACATGTGTGCTAGTCCTTTTAATAATGTTATTGTGGGGCAGCAGGTGGCGTGGTGGTTAAGGGCTCTCGAGTCCCACACGGCCAACCACGGTTTGAATCCTGGACCTGGCGGCTTGCTTTCTCGCTCCCCGCCCGCCTCTTGCTCTGTCCCTCTCTGATCAAATTTTAAAAAATAAATAAAGTTAAATAAAATAATTCTTTTAAAAAAGTTATTGTTCCTGCAGTAAAAAAACTGAAAAGTTTCACTTGGGAGAGTAACCTATTCTAAGTGTTAGTACAATTTGAAGTACTATGATTAAAAGACTAGCTAGTAGCTTAAAACTATCTTTTCTTTTTCAGCCTGTCCAAAGTTACATGAAAGTAATTCAATCACTAAACTAAAACTTTGCTAAGAAAATGAAATGATGTGTTGATGAAAAACTTGAACTATCATCTAAGTACTATCTCATTTTCACATTAAGGATGCCAATATAAAACAGTGCCTACCAAAAACAAACAAAAAAATAAACAAAAAAACCCCACTTTCTACACAAAGATGGCCAGTTTACTTGACTAGTATATATTCAACCTGCTATGCAATTGTATCGCAATTATACATAAGATGGCACACTTGAAATCATTCTCACTTGCAATGTGGCAGTCGTAGGCAAACCACTTAGCTGTATTCCAACTTCATTAATTTAGAAAATCAAAATCCAGGCCAATCAAACTATAATATAACTGAAATATAATGATAATTAATTTACTATTTATAATTAGTTAATGCAGTTTTTAACATGGCTCACCAACTGGTTCAAAGGCCACAAGCAGGAATTTCACACCTGCAAGAGAACACATGTGATAATCCTCAAAAAATAATAAGATGAGTATTTTGTGATTTGGGAATTGATCAAGCTAAATGTCAAACTTCAGTCAGTCTGACTTAACTGTTATTTTTATATTTCTTCATTAACACAGAAAGCACTAAAATTGATCAGACCTTTGATAAAATTTACTAATAAAATGTAAAAAATATTTATGCGGCCAGGTGGTGGTGCAATGGTGACTGTATCCCAGGATCTCCTTGGGCACGTATGTGCATACCCTTAACTCGGGACAGGTAAGACTGGGAGTGGGCTATGACACTGGGACCCTGTTGGAGGTGTGTGTCTCTGTCTCTCTTTCTGTCTCTTATCTCTTTTTCCTCTCATGAAAGAGATAAATGAATAAACCTAAAAAAATAAAATTCAATCTAAAAAAAACAAAAAAAATTCAACCTAGAGGCCAGCAAGTGGCATGGTGGTTAAGGCACTAGACTCCCACATGGCTGACTGCAGTCTGAGTTCTGGATCCAGTGGCTTGCTTTGTCTTTCTCTCTTTCTTTTTCTCACCAGTAAGCACACATGTCTTATAGTAAATTAAATATAATACTACTAATAAATAAAATTAAAAAAATTTTTTTTTAATTTAACGTAGTGGGCTGGCAAATGGCATGATGGTTAAAGAGGCTGGCCTCCCACACAGTCGACTACAATTCGAGTCCTGGACCTGATAGCTTGCTTTCTCACTTTCTCTCAATCTCTCTCGCACTCTCTTACTCTATCCCTCTCTGGTCAAATTAAAATAAATAAATAAAGTTAAATAAAATAATTCTTTTGAAAAAAATTTTAAATGTATTTAAAAATTTTAAATATATACATTGTTTTCACTTATGATTTTATATATCTCTGAAAAGCATATGTACAAAACATATAAAGCTAAATTATATATACACACACACAGATGGTGACATTTTTGTCTTAAAATAAGTTACAGAAAAACATATATGATACTATATATGTAAAACATATGTACATGTATGTCAGCAGATGGAGTGTTGATTAAGGCAATGGATCCCAAATAGACGACTCCACAGTTTGCATGGACTGGTGGCTTGAAAAGCACGCTGGGGGTCGGTGGGTGGTGAGATAGTTAAGGCGCTGGACACTCCCACATTGCTGACCACGGTCCGAGTCTTGGACCTGGTGGCTTGCTTTCTGACTTTCCCTCTCTCTCTCTCTCTCTGGTCAAATTAAAATAAATGAATGAATAAATACAATTAAATAAATAAATTTTAAAAAATAATATGCCAGGAATGTGTATGTGCATGCCCAAAATCCTGAGAGGAGAATGAAGGGGAAGGGATTGTGGTGTGGTCATTCCCCCCAGGGGGTAATTTCTCATTTTCTATTTCTCTATGCTGTCTCTCTCTCTCCAGTGAGTATACATGCTCCAGAGCAATAATCTCACACACACACACACACACACACACACACAGACACACACATTTAAAATGAAGTGTTTTTCACATACCAAAAAAAATTGTTTTTAAAGTTTAAAAATGTGAAAAAGGATGGATGAGATATGTATAATGTTTTCCATATTATAAAGAAAATATAATGTTTATTTATAAAATTAATAATAGAGAAAAAGGTTGTAAATTGAACTTAATTTTTTTATTTGCTTAGTGTGTAATTTTACAGATGTCTTTCCACTAAAAAAAAAGTCATCTAGCTCAATAACATATTTTTTATATCTTTTATTTAATGAATAAATTTAAACATGACAAGAGAAGTCATGCTTCATATCCATCCACATTAGGAACAGTGTATCTGTAGCCCAATATTCCTTTTTTTATTTTTAATTTATTTATTTTACATTCATTCACCGAACATAATCACAGCATACAAAATGTAATTTCCCATCCAGAATGTACTGTATGGTGGTTTAATCATACAAGTTATCATCAACAAATAAGATTTTGGGGGGAAACAGAGAAATGAAGAGGTCCCACTAATAATTCGGCCCCCAGCATACAAAATTCACATGGAGAGGTGGAAGGGAACAGAATAGGCCTTCTGCAAGAGACAGCTCTATGGCTCCTGCGATCTAGCCATTTTGGAGGAAACGGAGAAATGAAGAGGTCCCACTGATAATTCGGCCTCCAGCATGCTGAACTTCCAAGTTTGGGAAGAAACAAACCATCCACCAGATGACTAGAAATCGCTGCAGGACCACAAGAAATATGGGGAAGCAGGAAAATACCTCTCCCACAAGGGAAAAGGTAGCTCCTTTTCATCCACACACAGTTCAATGGAAATCATGGAAATATCTGATAAAGAATTCAGAACATTCACAATGGCAAAGCTAACAGAGATGGAAGAGAAGAGAGACAATAAATTGCTGAAAAGGAAGGAGAAAGGAGTTGAAGAGTTCCAGGAGGTGAGGAAATTCATACAAGATCTAAAAAAGGAATTTCACACTTTACAAAAGAATCAGATGGAACTGTTAGAGATGAAGGCTATAATAGAAGAAGGCAAAATTTCCCTTGAAAGTATTAAAAGCAGACTAGATCATACAGAAAATAGAATCTCAGATGTAGAAGAGAACATTGTTGGCCTAGAAAAATCCACCACGAAGACTGAGAAAATGGCCCATAAATTTGAGAATAATATACGAGAAATACTAGATACAATTAAACGTCCGAACATCCGGATAATATGCATCCCTGAAGGCGAAGAAACTCATAAGGGCATTGGTAATCTATTCCATGAAATCCTGCAAGAAAACTTTCCAAAC